GAGTTCTCGCGTTAGCCGCTAGGTGTCACTACTTTGATGTTGCCGTCCGTGCGGTAACCACGAACGGCTAAGGCTTTTGCGGTAGGATCTGCGTGAGGTTTCTGATGCGGAACGAGAAGCAAATATGTTATCACCGCGCGAGACATTCAGCGGGAGCCGAACAAAATCGCAACGAAAAGTCTCAGAAAGATGGGTAAAAATAGTGCGCACCGGTGATGATACGTACATACGTCGGTTGGTAGGTGTCTTCACGTGCTGCATGCACCGTTCGCCCAAATTCGGCTCTCCAGCCTGCTCTCGATGATGCCGGGTGGTAGCATATAGTTGGCGGTTCAACTATGGTACTTCGGTGTGCTTCGGAATATATGTAATGCAAATGCAGATGCACTCTGTACTAGACGTACCAAGGGTGCAGATGGAGAGCGAGCAACCGCAAGCGCAATGCTTCGTGCCACACCATCGCAAAGTACGTATTGGAGCTGTTCAGGATAAGACGGGAGGCGTACCGTGTGTTAAGTGGATGATCCATTCACTTCCATCGTTGTGAGGTCCTTTCAGATGCTCTCCTAAGTACCTATCAATTTGCAATATTCCTCTGTTTTCAGGCGATGCAATGAGTTTGCTAAACAGCATTTCGAGCACCAGCTGTTGCTCAACTGAACTTTAAGTGTGGTGGCACGATTAGCACGCGCCCGAGGGGGTGGTTGGGTACCCTTCGCTCGGGTGGGAGGTCAATTGAACCCCACCCCTGAGGTCTCAGGAACTAAGAGAGGTAGACACCAAATGCACAGTATGTATTGACCTGTACGCGAACTCATTTAGGTCAAAGTTTGAGATTGGTTCGTCATGAGCTTCCGCGTCAAATAAGGTCAAACAGGGTCAAAATCCGGGCTGGTCTCCAGTGTCCCCAGAATATAAATACTTGCCCTGAACAAAAGTTCGCATGCTCTCTTACGGCCAGAGACCTTGCTTGACCTCATAAGATCATGGTACCCAAAATCATACGAGACTTCTTTGAAATTTGCATTTGAATACGCGACAAATATTACGCCAGGCGGCATGTCCCTTTAAAAAAAAAATGCTGACCTGGACACTTTCAAGTCAGTAACCTATCATAAAGTTCTTAAGAAGTTTGCGGAAGATGCATAATGTGGTTCCTGTTATCAACAAATTCAAAATGAGCACCAGAAACTACCCCAAACAATAACGCTATAGTAATGAAACAGTTTGGGTTTGACCTTGGTCTGACTTTCATACCTGACTTTAGGTCAATGGAATTTGTTCATTGAATTGTTGTGTTGCGTAAGGAAGTATCTCAGAGATGTATGTCTTCGCCAAACACTCCGTTGTTGGATCAGGTTGAACAATTCCCTAGAAATGGACTTCACCGAATCCATGGCCTGACTTTGACCCGCCGTAAGTCAGCGACCTCACAAGGTACATCTAAATGTTTTATGCCAGACGACCCGCTACTTAATTATCTACAGTTATGCAAAATTTGGCGCGGCTCCGGCGCTGTTCGGAAACCATTCTGGAAAACCTTCGGGAGTCAAATTGACACTCCCCCTAGCGCGTGTTAATATTGAAATCTATAGATAAGGCAGTACTATTTAATTAATTCCTCGCAAAAAATGATCAGGAGGAAGGAAGATAGATGAATTGAAACTTCGGCTGCATGGGTTTAGCAACGATTTTGTTGTTGTTTCGATAAAGGCAAGTGAGCGAAATATCAATGCATCTGTCTTTCCTTTCTCTTGGTTATTCTGCAAGAAATAAGGCCATCAGCACTGTGTTAACAAAATACATAATGTTCCTCTCAAATGCACTTAACAGCTTACACAACATTGGAACCTTATTATTCTATGGCCCGCTGGCTGCGAACCTGGTGTCTTACTCTCAACTTGTAGTTGATTAAGGCTATGGATATATTTTCAAGTAAAGCTATCGTAACACAAGGCCTATGTGTTTAACCGGAAAACTGGGCTTGGTTGACTTCCCTTAGTCCAAAAAGAAACTTTGTTTCAATGTAATATGCTGCCTCCTGTTAATGTCATACTTCTTCCGCCCGTCGCGTATCCCATGATTGATCAGTCGCCCTTTGACATGTTCGCTTCACCCCAAATGCTGACATTTACGCTTTGCTAGCACAAACATATTTATAATTGACGTCGGAGAAAATAGTGGACGGGGCTCATTGGTAACCTGATTGGTCACACACCAACATGAGTCCTAATTTCCCTCTTGCATAATGAGAGATGATTGCGTGATTCATGATCCTTGCATACCTGCATGCTTGATCTCCGCATGATTGAAGGCTTACACACCTCCACAGCGTCAAGTCTCCGAACCATACCCTAAGCTGATATGTAGCTGTGCTGTTGCGTTCAGAACTTCTGAGCAGGTGCTTGTCTTCTTGGTACCAGCTGATTGCATCACTGCGCTTCTAGTTACGCGCACCGGACACTTATCGGCCTTCCTCTTAAGTCCGGTGTGGGCTAGCGTAGTGTGCCCGCAGTTCGCTGATAGAGGAATGCATGCTGAATTCATATGAAGGCGGTACAGGTCGTATCTTATCCGTCACGAGCTCAAGCTCTAGCTGAGATGCATGCAGAGCTTGTTTTGATTCGTTCTCTTGAAAAGGAAGCGTACAAATGCTAGATGAGGATATTGTTAAGACGGTCATGCTATCATATCAGTACTGTGAGAGGCCAGAGCTGAACATGCTGGACCAACATGGCCCAGCCACAGACATTGCGGTGTTACGCACGGCAGGTCACTGATTTGAATCAGCAGGCGACAACACACCATCTGCCATCGATCTTTGACTTACAATGATTTTGCGTATGTGTTATTCAGCCTACCACTTCCGGTAAGCGTAAGCATGTTGTCAACATGCTTGTCGCTGCAATATTAGAAGGCTTCCGAGGATATATTGACCTAACGACGAGTGTGCGTTGCGACAAGCTGAAAACGATGTGGTGTCTTTTCCGTCCGTTCCCGATTAAGGAGTGACGCATCGGTGACGCTAGTTAGCTGCCCGGTGCAAACATTCTGGGCGGATGTCTGATTGATTAGTCGCTAGATCGAACTGCCGATATCTGAGCTTGTGTTCGAGGCACAATGAAGCAGACACAGTTGTGTAAATTCCGCCCGTTTGTCATCCAGAAGCGCCTTTGTGCTCGCCGCCGATTGGTCGTGGCCCTTTGTTTGCGACCGCCGAGCACAAGTCCGGGCAGGCAGCAGCTGTGTGCCGACTGATTAGCCGGCTATGTGGGGCCCTCTCTAACGACGCGACTGTGGCGGAAGCAATGCGCGCACACAGCGCGTCGGTCTGTTTATCGAGAACGTTCCGGCCGAATGGGGCCTGTTCTCGCCGCCGCGTGACAAGTTTGCCATTCCGGGATGCGGGTGGAGGGCGGGCGGTTGAGGGGAAGAAGTCGCTGAGACGAGGCTCTGTCCACGGGAGGAGACCATTGGCGGCTCACCGACTCAGCACAGAGCTGCCGGTCCCCTGAGCTAAACGGATTCGTGTCAGCTGCAGCACGACGACGGTCCGATAGCGCCATTTTCGTCCAGTTTTGGTCCGGGCTTTGCACGCGATTTGTTCACGAAAGACCGCAGTCTATCACCGCACTTTTATTCAGAGCAGTGGATGCACGACAGCGCGATGCCGCCGCGAGACCACAGCTCATCACGAGGCCACGTGATCCCGCAAATGACAGGGCCGGCACATCCCAGCCCGACCTGCCCTGTGCTCGAGCCGCCGCCAGCCCCACGCTCGCGGGGCGGGCCGGCCCCGCGCGGCAGCCGGCCCGCCGACCGACGCTCCGGCCACGCGTTTACGACCGCCGCCTTTGTCGTTCCCGTCAAATGGAGTCTGGACCCGCTCGGGCAGCGCCATTGTGCAGGCGGCCGCCGACTTCAGATCTCTCCCGAATCGGAGGCGCTTCCGCTGGTGCAATAAACCCGCCGGATCCGCGTGGGTGTCGTCGCCGACGAAGGCGGCGGCGGCGCCTGAGCCAGCCGACGGACGGGTCACGTGGCCAGGCTCTCGGACAGGGCAGGGTCGACCGAGGCGCCACCTGAGCCGTCGCTCGCGCGCTTGGGGTTCGGCTGATCGGTTGGGGCGGAGGAGAGAGGATGGGCGGGTACTGCGTGAGTTCGCTGCCTCTGGTGCTAACCGATGAGTCAGCGGTGGCTCGAGATGGACTCTGAGTCATTGTTGGGGTCCGCGCCGCCCATGACGTGCGTGCACGCTGACGGCTTCAGAAAAACAGACGTAAATGTTTGACGATCTATAACGAGCATGCATGTTTTCGACCGAAGCGCACGCATCTTCGAGCGTTCCCGTTGTATATCAAGTCTGCCGCACGAATACTTCGGACTGGGCTACACGGACCCAGTTGGCAGCGTGAGCTATGTGTGCAGGAAATGCTGTTCCGGATACAAAACAAGGCTAAACAGTGAGACCAGCTAGAAGTCGGCTTACCAGTAAGACGTCTGTAACGGCGTGGGACGAACGAGGTGATAATAGCCAGGATTGCTGTCATCATGGAGGATCAGCATAAGCGAGCCAAAACGGATAAGACTTATCAATGTGTTGGGGTATCCTCATTTCATAAGTTAAGCAGGCAGTGGCTGTGGACTAGCCGTGGTCTGGCAATTTTAACAGGCGCCCAGGTGGTCGGGTGAATACGATACCCTCGACTTGGGAGGGAATTTGACCCCTGAGATCTCACAAATAAAGAAAGCTAAATGGGC